ATGACTAATTACAGAAATAGGCAACTCTATAGATATCTTAATTGGTTCAGTTTACACAATTCTGATGAGTTAAAATTAAAGTTGAGCAAACTTTCTGTAATGGGTGCCCAAACTGTTGTACCCAGATGAACATAGACAAGAGCAGAGCTTTCAGTGGAAATTCTAAACAAGTGAGATGAAGACTCTGAATAATTTTTCAAACAATTTTAACAGAAAATGAAACACAACTTTACCAGTATGACCCTGTAGACAAAGCACTGTCAAAGTCATGGCTACCAAGAAGTAGAAGTGGTCCAGTCAGAGCAAAAGAGCAAGAGCATCAAGGCAACAGTTTGGGGGATGTTCAGGGCATTTTGTGTCTTGACTTTCTGGGGGGGCCAAAGAATGATAGGTACCTTCTGTTTATTATGAGTGTTTTGAAAGTGTTAACTGTAAAATCAGCAGAAAAATGTCCAGGGAAGCTTCACCAGAAAGCCCATCTTCATCATGACAATGCTCCCACTCATTTTCTTGTCAAATATGGGCAATTTTCAAGAATTTCTGTGGGAAACTATTAGACATCCACTCTCATGATTTGGCTTCTCTGACTCTTTTTTTTGTTTTCTAATCTTAAAAAAGTCTTTAAAGAGCACCCATTTTTCTTTAGTTAATAATGCAAAAAAGACTATATTGAAATGGCTAAGTTCCCAGGACCCTTAGTTCTTTAGGAATGGACTAATAAGCTGGTATAATAACTGACAGAATTGTCTTGAATTTGAGGAAACTTATGCTGAGATATAAAATTTATATTTTTTATTTTTGTCTTTTAATTCCATGTTTTCATAAACTTTTTGACGTCCCCACACATGTGTGTATGCACATATATTTACACTTACATATATATATATATAATTTAAAAATTAAGATATAAGTTTAGATTTCTTTTGACTTCTTTCTCAACTATTCAGTCATCTGAAAAATCATGATACATTTTTTTTGCTTAGAAAAACAGAAAAATACATCATTACTTTTTTAAAAAGAAATATTTATTTATTATTATTATTGTTAATATTTTCCACGTGAGTTTTGCCAGAGAAAGACAGAGAGAAAGAGAGAGAGGGAGAGTGAGAAAGCAAGTCGCCAGGTCTGGGACTCAAACCATGGCCGGCCATGTGGGAATTCTAGCACCTTAACCACCATGCCACCTGCTGGCCCACATCATTACTTTTTTGACAACCTGAAAGAATGTAAATTCAACAAGTAGGGGAACTTTGTTTCTCCTGTGTACATAGAATGTATAATGGTGCCTTACACATAGGTGTGTGAAGACAAAATAAACACTGTGTATTTATATACTGTTATGACTTGGATGGTGGTTTGTCCTTCAAAACTACAAGTTTTGAAATTTGTTGTTGGGAGGCAGCAAGGCCTAGTAGGTAGTGATTGGGTCATTGTGATTGCACCATGGTAGCAACACTCCCATGAATAGATTAATGATGTCTTGATAGATCCAGTGGGTTCCAGCTCTCATGAGAAGAGGTCAGTTCTTTCGTGAGCATGCTGCCATGAGAGAGAGAACTGTCAGAAGCTCTCTCTCTGCACACACCCGCCATCTTCTACGCCTCTGTTGGCCATGCAATAGGTTGGTCTGATGCCAGTCCTATGCTTTTGGACTTTTCAGCCAGCAGAATTTTGAGTAAATAAACCCAATGTCTTTATAAACCACGTAATTCTGTTAGCATTGCAAAACATGGACTGAGACATATACTCATGTTTTGAAAAGTAACTATCAACAGGTCCCAAGCCAGAATGGAAGTCTCACATGCCTCCCTCTGTAAGGCCTTCTCTCTCTGTCCTCCTTCTTGACTTTGCATCTCAGAAGCACAGAACTGCTGTGCTGCTTCCTCCACCTCTTTGCTCTATCTTCATGCTATCTCCTTCTGGGGGAGACTGCTCCCCATCTTTTGTCTCTAGGACACCTGCAAATCTCCTTCAAGAAGTTCAGTAGGATCTTGTTGAAGATGCTTTCTCTCCCCCTGCCACCCTTTTCCTCTCTTCTGGAGTCTTCCATGTTGATGGCTATCCTATGCTCATACACTGTGTTAAATGTCTTGTTTCTCTGATTACTCTCCAAAAGGTCATGAACTCCTTTAAGTTCAGAAACATGCCAAAGATCTCCTCTTTGATTCCCCGGCCCTGTATATCTGGGGGTAAATAGAAGCAAGTATTAGTGTGTCTAGTTCACAGATGGAGAAACTAAAGTACACCTCATCCAGTTTCAGAATGAAAAGAAGAGCCCAGAGCCGGCAGGACTCCTCTTCAGAGCTCCTTCTTCCTGTCACTTGGGGAGGGGGCTGGCTCTCCAGGGCTTCAGTAAATCTCTCTATAAGTCCTGTGCCCCTCTGGAAGGTAACCATGGATACCATTGAGCTGGCACAGAAACCTTCAGTTAATGGAGACTACAAGTGTTTTCAGGAGGCTGAGGGGATTTTGAGGTGAGGGCAAAACTGGGAACACTTGCGGAGGGAGGACTTCTGCCCCCTGGTTGGGTGTGTTTCAGTTAAGGTGGGCTCAGTAGGGCCCTGGGTGGAGTTATGATATTAACTAGCTGCAAGATGGGGCCTAAGGGAATCCCGGGCACTTTCTTGTTGGAAAGGGAGTCCTGGATTGAGAGTGGGTGCAGAGGTATGAGGGTGGGGGCAGAAGATAGTGCTGCCATGACTGACCTGGCTCCTGAGGAGACTTGGAAATAACGGGTTTTCCTGGTCCCATTTAGGGGGAGTTTCCAGCCCCTCCAAGCCCCTCCACCCTGTCCCAGGGGTTTTTATCCGTTTATTGTAGGTCCACAGTTAGGGTAAAATCACACCTAGCATATCTCAGGGAGGCCCTTTTCTTTTCGGAGCCCTTGCTGGCCGCCAGGAGTCTGGTCGTGACCCTCCTCCGATTCCTACAGTCCAGGGTCTTCACTCAAACCTTTTATTCTCAGACGAGACTCCGCGGAGAGCGAGGACCTAGAGAGCCCCAGGCTATCCTAGGCCGGCTCCGAGCTGTTCCCAACTTTCCAGTTCCCTCCCCGGTTTACGCCTCCAGAGGTAGGAACCCGCGAAGGCGCTGTCCCACCTTTGGTGGCGTGGGTGGGTTGGCCAAGGGGCGTATGACCAAGCCTGCCGGTCTCCTGAACCAAAGTCCTCGCGGAGCGAGGAGAGCGAGGGCGCGGGAGGTGGACTTGGAGGCGAGAGGTGGCGGCAGTTTCCAGGCGCTTTGACGTAGACTTAAAGAGGCGCTGAGCACTCCCACAGCTTAAGAGGCACGGGAGCCTCAGGACGCGGCAGCTGGGGACAGTCACTCGCTCCAGAGCAGCCTGAGCATCTCCTCTCCACGCATTCGAGGGAACCCCGAGACGGCCGGCAGGTAAGTCCGAGGGGCGCTCTTCTGCACCTGGGTTCCTGCCGCGGAGTAAGGAGCTGACCGGGACCCAAAGGGCAGAGCGGGACCCTGACAGCCTCGCCCTGACAAGGATGAGGCCACGGAAGCCGGTGCGGGGCCGAGAAGCGCCAAACACAGCGCGGCTCTCTTGGCGGGGCATCCGGAGGACCCCCGGGTTACGGAATTTAGAGAAACACCCCTCTGAGCTCTAAAGGAGCTACTGTGAGCGCTGTGCCGTCCGCAATCCAGGGAGTCCCAGGCTACGCCAACTTCAGCACCCCGGACAGCGATCCCGCCTGCTGTCTAAAACAGCCCTGAAAGCTTAGCTTAGTCCCTTAAGGACCTCAGGGAGACCTCGACTTTCATATTCCAAAAGGTTCAAGAAAGGACACAAGTAGAGACAGTGTGCAAATGATATGAAACAGAGGAAATATTGTTTTGAGTTACCTTGAATCTCAAACATGCCCCCTTTAAAACAGAAATGTGCACGGCAAAGTTTCTGAAACACTTAGCGCAACCCCTCTTGCTGGGGTTCATCTTACATGTTACCGTTAAAGTGCCCAAACAGAAGTATCCCCATGAGCTTTATCTTGCCTGCTTTCACCATCCGAACATCTAACAGGTTTGGATATACAAGGCTAAACTGAAAGCTGCATGTGCCCTTCCTGTTTTTTTTTTTTTCTTTCTTTGTTAGAGTTGTTTAAGTGCGGTATATATTTGATATAGCCTGTGAGGAGTCAGACAAGCGTTGATTTTCTGGGGAAAAATAAAAGTTCTTTTATTCTAAAGGCATCATTTCTCATTGCTCTTGTCTCAAGGTGGGACGCAAGAGTCATTTTAAGGTGGTATACGGGTGCCTTGATGTTATTGCAACAGCCATTGAGAGTTCGAAATGCTAGATAAGAAGCAATTCTTTTTAATCCTTGAGATTCACAGGAAGCAGGGAGAAATGAATAAAAAAACTATTTATGAAGTTATAATTACAGAACATTTAGGTGTTTGTAAAGTGTCTGTTGACTCTAATTAAAAATAAACGTCCCTTTGTTTTCACTTATACTCACCCATACTTTTAGTACACTATATTGTGTTTATTAAAACATTTTATTATTCTGAGATCTTTTTCAAACAATTTGAAAAATCATTGCGAATAAAAATGTATCCAAAGGTAAACTTCATTCAATTATTAAGTGGGTAAGAGTACTAGATTAGAGTATCCATATTTAATTGAGATATTATAGTATAATCAAAGCCATGCAGCAAGATTTAAATGCCCACTTAATACTCATTTAAACTATTCTTCTGTAGCAGGGAAAAACAGGTTCATTTATTCATTTACAAAGAAACACATATTAAGAAAAAATATTTCTTACCCTAAGTATCCTGGTTTTGCATCCATTACCTGGCCTGGCAGAGAGTTATTTTGGCCAGAATGGGATCTGTGGTGTGGGAAATGGGATAAGACATTTCTGACCTAGTGTCAGTCATAGGTTTCCTTTGGTGGAACCGAGGTCTTAGGGGCAGACTTCTCTTCTTTACTGATGGAACACAATCAGGGACTGATTTGAGATATTTCCATCCCGTGCAGTTCCAGGGCCATGGCTGATCCTGGAAACAGAGGAGGGATTCACAGCCCTTTGAACCTCACCTGCTCCCTGCTCATTGTGGGAATGTGCTGTGTATCGCCTTTCTTCTGTCAGAGTCAGACAGACCTACTGGCTCTTAACCAAGCCGATCCTCAGTGCTGGGAATCCTCTTCAGTGCTCCTCCTGGAAATGAGGAAGCCTCGCATTTCCAACACCGTTTCAGGCTTCTGGGATTTTATGATCTATCTAAAGTCATCTGAGGACTTGAAGCATGGGGCATTGTTTTGGGATCTGGCCCAACTCTTCTGGGACATCTATGTGGACTGCGTCCTCTCCAGGAACCACGGTTTAGGAAGGAGGCAACTGGCTGAAGAGGAAAAGAAAATTTCAGCAACACAGCCACAGCACACAGGGAGTAAACAAGGTGGTCACCTCTAATCCTCAGATCTCAGACAGGGTCAATCAAGGATGAATGTGCTAAATCTTGAGGAAGTGGGGAATGCCTTTCAGGGCATTTGTCATATGCAGTGTCACATGTACGCCTCTCAAGGGGTGAACACCAGGAGTTCATGAGTAATAGGAAATTAGATAAGACTTCCTTTTGCCTTTCATAGTAGCCATTTCCATCAATGTGTTGTCTTCACCTTCATATTTCAAGTGAACAGCAGCAAAGAATAGTCAGAAAGATAAGTTAGGCAAAGCGTGATTCTCCAAATATAACATAAAGGTTTAAATGGATGGCCCCAAATCAACATTATTTTTTACCATTAGCCTGAGCTTTGCCAGTCATAGCCTCGTGTTTACTTGGTGTGGAATTAGGAGACTGGAATATAAGCCTGGAGACTTAACATTTGCAACATACAAATAAATTCCCCTTTTAAATTGAGGGGAAAAAAACAAAAACAAAATATTACTTTCACATAAATGGAGGGTGCCCTTTAGGAGGTACTTAGTTGATGAAGCAAAGAGTAAAAATAATCAGCCAACATGCAGATTCACTTGTTGTTGCTTTCTGAATGAATCTCCAATCAATAATTAACTTCCGGCAAGCTGAGTAATTAATTTCTAGTTAACTTGGAACTTCCTACAAACTAAGAGATTGTCACTGCAGTAAAGGCTACATTCAAAAGCAGTTGTCTCTGAGGGCAGAGAAAAAATATCCCTTATACAATTAGAATGATGTGAGTGAGTCCCTGGAAGTGAGCAGAGAGATATCTGAGCCTTTACTCCCAAGGTTTTCCTGCCTTTTCTAGTATTATTTTAACCAATGAATTTCTGCACCTGGCCACAAGTGTTTTTTGGTGGCAGTAAAAATTACAATTGTTTATACTCCAGTGGGAAACTTCGGCATAACTAATTTTTACATTTGTGCATTTCATTGTGAGAATTGTTATATATTTCTATAGTCTATGATTAAAAATAGCAATTAACAGTAACAATTCTAGTGCTACCCTTTCTTAAGATATTTTAGAGCTTTTACATATCTGGTGTGTGTTCTTCACAGTAACTATAAATTCTTTCCATTTGGTGATCTATAAAACAAGATAATCCACTACTATTATTTATAGATAAGGTTATTATTTTAGTAGGTGTTTCTGTAACTTAAAACAATTTCCTTTTTTATTGGAGCTATTCTTTCAACAGCTTTGTAACTAAAGTTGAAACATACGAATGTCTTTAAATGTTGGTCACCAGTATTTAAAAAATGTTTTGAATAGAATATTTAGCTGTCATATTTAAATCATTATCAATTTTTAAAGAGTTATTTTAATTTAATTTAATTTATTATTATTCTTTTTAAATTTTAGTAGACAGAGACATGCAGGGACTGGGGGGAAGTGAGACGGTAAGCCTTTAGGTCTGGGATTTGAACCACAGTTGACCATGTGGGAGCCCAGTGCCTCAACCACCATGCCACCTGTTGGCCCCCATTACCAATTTTTTAAACCTTGTATTCACCTTAAATAACTCAAAGAATTATCTACAGAAAAAATGAAAATAATGTTATTTGTACTCAAACAGAAAATAGTATAGTTAAATATATTATATGTATTTAATTTTATCATCTATCTATCTATCTATATCTATCTATCTATCTATAACTACCCACAGAAAGTTCACAAAAAATAGAATTAAAGTATGGGTTTATTTCAGGATAGATAAAAATTTAAATTCGCACATAGTTTTTTCATAATATGCTCTTTCCATGAACTTTCTGAAGACGCCCCCCACCCCCCCGCATATATTTCTTTATCCTTTAAAAAAATTGCTGGGCAGGTGTGTTGCAGTAGTTAAGACACTGATTCCAATATGGTGTGAGTCCCAGACCTTGGCTTGAAAATCATACTGAGCATAGCATCTTGTGTGCCCAGGGTCCCTAGAGGAGAACAGAAGAGAAGGGATTGCAGTGTTACCATCTTCTCTAGGAGATGGTTTCTAACTGGCTGAAGAGGAAAAGAAAATTTCAGCAACACAGCCACAGCACACAGGGAGTAAACAAGGTGGTCACCTCTAATCCTCAGATCTCAGACAGGGTCAATCAAGGATGAATGTGCTAAATCTTGAGGAAGTGGGGAATGCCTTTCAGGGCATTTGTCATATGCAGTGTCACATGTACGCCTCTCAAGGGGTGAACACCAGGAGTTCATGAGTAATAGGAAATTAGATAAGACTTCCTTTTGCCTTTCATAGTAGCCATTTCCATCAATGTGTTGTCTTCACCTTCATATTTCAAGTGAACAGCAGCAAAGAATAGTCATAAAGATAAGTTAGGCAAAGCGTGATTCTCCAAATATAACATAAAGGTTTAAATGGATGGCCCCAAATCAACATTATTTTTTACCATTAGCCTGAGCTTTGCCAGTCATAGCCTCGTGTTTACTTGGTGTGGAATTAGGAGACTGGAATATAAGCCTGGAGACTTAACATTTGCAACATACAAATAAATTCCCCTTTTAAATTGAGGGGAAAAAAACAAAAACAAAATATTACTTTCACATAAATGGAGGGTGCCCTTTAGGAGGTACTTAGTTGATGAAGCAAAGAGTAAAAATAATCAGCCAACATGCAGATTCACTTGTTGTTGCTTTCTGAATGAATCTCCAATCAATAATTAACTTCCGGCAAGCTGAGTAATTAATTTCTAGTTAACTTGGAACTTCCTACAAACTAAGAGATTGTCACTGCAGTAAAGGCTACATTCAAAAGCAGTTGTCTCTGAGGGCAGAGAAAAAATATCCCTTATACAATTAGAATGATGTGAGTGAGTCCCTGGAAGTGAGCAGAGAGATATCTGAGCCTTTACTCCCAAGGTTTTCCTGCCTTTTCTAGTATTATTTTAACCAATGAATTTCTGCACCTGGCCACAAGTGTTTTTTGGTGGCAGTAAAAATTACAATTGTTTATACTCCAGTGGGAAACTTCGGCATAACTAATTTTTACATTTGTGCATTTCATTGTGAGAATTGTTATATATTTCTATAGTCTATGATTAAAAATAGCAATTAACAGTAACAATTCTAGTGCTACCCTTTCTTAAGATATTTTAGAGCTTTTACATATCTGGTGTGTGTTCTTCACAGTAACTATAAATTCTTTCCATTTGGTGATCTATAAAACAAGATAATCCACTACTATTATTTATAGATAAGGTTATTATTTTAGTAGGTGTTTCTGTAACTTAAAACAATTTCCTTTTTTATTGGAGCTATTCTTTCAACAGCTTTGTAACTAAAGTTGAAACATACGAATGTCTTTAAATGTTGGTCACCAGTATTTAAAAAATGTTTTGAATAGAATATTTAGCTGTCATATTTAAATCATTATCAATTTTTAAAGAGTTATTTTAATTTAATTTAATTTATTATTATTCTTTTTAAATTTTAGTAGACAGAGACATGCAGGGACTGGGGGGAAGTGAGACGGTAAGCCTTTAGGTCTGGGATTTGAACCACAGTTGACCATGTGGGAGCCCAGTGCCTCAACCACCATGCCACCTGTTGGCCCCCATTACCAATTTTTTAAACCTTGTATTCACCTTAAATAACTCAAAGAATTATCTACAGAAAAAATGAAAATAATGTTATTTGTATTCATCTCAAACAGAAAATAGTTAAATATATTATATGTATTTAATTTTATCATCTATCTATCTATCTATATCTATCTATCTATCTATAACTACCCACAGAAAGTTCACAAAAAATAGAATTAAAGTATGGGTTTATTTCAGGATAGATAAAAATTTAAATTCGCACATAGTTTTTTCATAATATGCTCTTTCCATGAACTTTCTGAAGACGCCCCCCACCCCCCCGCATATATTTCTTTATCCTTTAAAAAAATTGCTGGGGCCAGCAGGTGTGTTGCAGTAGTTAAGACACTGATTCCAATATGGTGTGAGTCCCAGACCTTGGCTTGAAAATCATACTGAGCATGTATACTTGTGTGCCCAGGGTCCCTAGAGGAGAACAGAAGAGAAGGGATTGCAGTGTTACCATCTTCTCTAGGAGATGGTTTCTCACTTTCCTTCTCTCTGTTGCTCTCTGGCGATTTCACGCCACCTATGGCAAAAAAAAAAAAATCTTTAAAAAAATTTCTAGAGAACACATATTTATGAGAGAGAGAGAGAAAGAGAGAGAGAGAATGTGAGAAAGAACCCCACTATGGGAGATGGTCATGCTGCAATACCTTATCCATTTCTCCCTCCTTTCAGCATTTTGGGTGAGTACATACATATGCCCAGCATATTTTTAAAGCTGCTGGGTGTGGGACTTGAACCGTGTAATTGGCCATGGAGAATCCAGCCAACTTAACCACCATTCCACTTGCTAGTCCTCAGTATCTCCAACACAGCTTCATGTTTGGAAGTTACTTCCTTCATCTTGCTACAGAGTTACAATGGACTCAGCTGGTCTGCAAACTTTAGGGATGGTTGCTATGGGAGTAGCCAGGTAGTAGGAGTGAACTTTCACTTTATTAAAGTTATTTGAATGTTTGACACAAATAATTGTTTACAGATCAGGAAACAAGACTTTCCATTTGGTTTGTATAATCATAGTCAAAGAGGGTCTTGGGTCAAGGAGATACAATGTCCAAAAGTTAAATAGTTACAGGAACATTGAGATTTCATTTCAAGAGGCTTGTTTAAATCTCTAGTGGCTCAACTGGGCTCTGGATGTACCTGCGTAGATCCTCCAGTGACTTTTTCTTTTGTCCCTGGGGGATAATATGCTGCTAGGTTGGGACAAGGGTGAGAGTGAAGAGGTGTTTGTCCTTATAGTTCTCAGGAAAATCACGTCATCAAGGCATAAGGGAAGAACTAAAATAAATGTCTACATACTATACAAAAAGGTTCTTGTTATTTTTGTTTTCAAGTCAAATATAATAGTTTAAATGCACTTGTGAAATCTTATCCCATTTCTCCCTCCTTTCAGCATTTTGGGTGAGTACATACATATGCCCAGCATATTTTTAAAGCTGCTGGGTGTGGGACTTGAACCGTGTAATTGGCCATGGAGAATCCAGCCAACTTAACCACCATTCCACTTGCTAGTCCTCAGTATCTCCAACACAGCTTCATGTTTGGAAGTTACTTCCTTCATCTTGCTACAGAGTTACAATGGACTCAGCTGGTCTGCAAACTTTAGGGATGGTTGCTATGGGAGTAGCCAGGTAGTAGGAGTGAACTTTCACTTTATTAAAGTTATTTGAATGTTTGACACAAATAATTGTTTACAGATCAGGAAACAAGACTTTCCATTTGGTTTGTATAATCATAGTCAAAGAGGGTCTTGGGTCAAGGAGATACAATGTCCAAAAGTTAAATAGTTACAGGAACATTGAGATTTCATTTCAAGAGGCTTGTTTAAATCTCTAGTGGCTCAACTGGGCTCTGGATGTACCTGCGTAGATCCTCCAGTGACTTTTTCTTTTGTCCCTGGGGGATAATATGCTGCTAGGTTGGGACAAGGGTGAGAGTGAAGAGGTGTTTGTCCTTATAGTTCTCAGGAAAATCACGTCATCAAGGCATAAGGGAAGAACTAAAATAAATGTCTACATACTATACAAAAAGGTTCTTGTTATTTTTGTTTTCAAGTCAAATATAATAGTTTAAATGCACTTGTGAAATCTTATCATGAATTAAGCTTTATTAATAGCATAAAATGCCTAGATAATTGTGTATGTTAAATTCATATCTTTTAGTACTGGTCAACAGTATGAAACAAGAGCTATCAATAGCTATGTAATCTTGGGCAATTAATATATGTAGCTTCTACTTTCTTCATCTGAAAAAGAAGGCTATGGAAATAACTAGATGGCCCATAATGTCATGTTTTGGTTCTAATGCTCTGAGATTCTGTAAAACAAAAAATGTATAGCAGGTACTTATTTAAGTATGGGAGGAATCTAAAAGACCTTTATCCCAAGGATAGTAAACTGAGCTGAGCTGATGTCCTGGACATTATGGGTGTTTACAAGAAAGAGAAGCAGGAACAGAAAAGATCCAGAAATGAGAATGCCAAAAGACAAAAAAAAAAAACAAAAACCCAAAAACCAAAAAACAAAAATACAAAAACAAAAAAAACACCTAAGGACTGGAGATGGCATTATGAGAAAAGACTTTAAAAATCATTGTTATTGGGACCAGCAGTTAGCATAATGGTGATATCGCTGGACACCCATGTAGTTGACCACTGTTCAACTCCTGGACCCAGTGGCTGAAATTCATGCCAGGCGTGTGTGTGTATGTGCCCAAGATCTCGAGAGGAGAATGGAGAAGAAGGGATTGTGACGTGACCATCTCCCCTGGGGTGTGATTTCTTGCTTTCTGTCTCTCTGTCTCGCTCTGTCTTTCTGGTGAGCGCACACTCCCTATAGCAAAAACCTTTACAAAAAAAAAAAAGATTAAAAAAAATTGTTATTTAGCCTAGAAAGGCATGGACTAATAGCCGAAGATTCAAGTATCTGAAGGAAGGGAAGAAAAGGATATAGTCAGGCTTAGCCATGAATTCTGATGGATTACATCAAGATAGATGAATTGATTTAGGGTAAGAGTACACTAATTCCCAAATAGAAAAATAACAGAGGTCAGGGTAACACATGTGTTCTAGTTTTTTGTGAACTTTTTGAAGTCCCCTTTTAGTGAAGCATCCCCCTTCTTCCATCTCCCTCTTCTCCACCCCCCACCGTGAAAATGGTCATGCCACAATCCTTTCTCCTCCTTTCTTCCCTTCTCTGGGGATTTTGGGCATGCATGCGCCTAGCATAAGTTTTAAGCCACCAGGTCTTTGACTCAAACTGCAGTGAAATACACTTGGTGGGAATCCAGTTACGTAACCGTGATGCCATCTGCTGGACCCAGTCACTGGGGACTTCTGAAAGGACTAATATGTCAAATCTCTTTAGACTCTTCCCAAAGGAGAAAGAGACCAGAGCTTAGTCAGAGCAGTTGTCTCATAAACCTTTACAAAAAAAAAAAAGATTAAAAAAAATTGTTATTTAGCCTAGAAAGGCATGGACTAATAGCCGAAGATTCAAGTATCTGAAGGAAGGGAAGAAAAGGATATAGTCAGGCTTAGCCATGAATTCTGATGGATTACATCAAGATAGATGAATTGATTTAGGGTAAGAGTACACTAATTCCCAAATAGAAAAATAACAGAGGTCAGGGTAACACATGTGTTCTAGTTTTTTGTGAACTTTTTGAAGTCCCCTTTTAGTGAAGCATCCCCCTTCTTCCATCTCCCTCTTCTCCACCCCCCACCGTGAAAATGGTCATGCCACAATCCTTTCTCCTCCTTTCTTCCCTTCTCTGGGGATTTTGGGCATGCACGCACACTTGTCTGCTGCATGTCTCAAGTTGCTGGGTCCAGAAAGGGAACCATGCAGTTCACCAGGTGGGATCTAGCTGCCTTAATGTACATGCCAGGGGCTGTCCCATAAAATTTCCTTTTAGAAAACAATTTATCGATATTTCATTAACACAAAAATAATTTGGAGACCTAATAAAGTTCCTTTTCTCTACTTTCAGGTACATATCCTCAGCGCCTAAGAACCCCTCTTCTAAAGAAGAAAGAACTGATTGAAGGTTTGATAAGCACACATGTGCGCAGGAGCCGGTCTAGGTTCATTGGAAAGGTGAACCTGGAAATAAAGAGAAAATAAATCTCATCTCACCCTAACTCAAGCCTTAGTATTAAATGTATGCATATATATGTATATATGCATTATATACATAAAATACGTGTATTTATGTATACACATATATAAAAATATTTTTCTTAACTATCAATCATTCATTCATTTGAAATGGTGGAACTTTCTGGAAATAAATAGTAAGCCAAACATTCCCAGAGCACTTATTTTAAGTTTTATTCTTTTAGACTGCTAGCACATTCTTTCAAATGGTAAGGTTGTTTTTGAATCATTACACTATCTAAAAGAGTTAAATAACTTCCAGAGTTGACTTGGGGATTGGGAGACTCAGAATCTTTGGGTTCTTTTGATAATTTGGTTTGGAATTCGTGACCCTGTTAACGAGTTCGAGTGTCATACATTGAACTTGAATACACTGCATGACTTTCAAGCCCTTAACCACGGGATCACTTATGCATAGGCACATAAGGAACCGTACTTACTAATTGCCAGTTACTGATGGTCTGTGGTACATGAATCTTGTTTGAGAAAACATGTTTGAATAATGAATGAAGCAAAACACAAAACACACACAAAAAAACACAAAAAGCTGGTGAATAAAGCATTCTTCTAATGGAAACAAAATTAATAAAAGTTCTGGACCCCCAGTAATGTTATTAGAGTCTCTTTATTTCAGTATTTAATGTTACCATTAATGATACCCAAATTCTAATAAAATAGCAAAAGTACAAATAAGTATAAATTATTTCCCAATTAGCACATTTGCTGATTAAATATTAAAACTGTAGCAATGATTATACTTTATGCTGAAAAGGCAAACAAAAGTAAAATGAACAGCTTTATAAGAAGAGATGTATAATTTTTCCCTAGAAAATGACCAGGCCTCAATGAGGTTCATAGCCCAGAAGTCCAATTAGCAAATTTATCTGAGTTCTAGACACAATGCTATTTTTATCTCTGATTATTCCTGTCTCTCCAATTATCCTATTATAACTAATGATTGACAGTCATTTTGAATTTCAGATATCTTAGCAATTCTCTTGCCTTTTCCAGGTCCAAAGAAAGCATAGTAAATATTTTCATTGGAGGTTTAGGGCTCTCCTTAAGCCAGAGGGTTATTATCAGAAGACACAGTTTCATGTGAGGGTTAGGCAAGTCCTAATACTAGGAATAGGAAGCCTGGGGAAAGAGGTGAGAGAGAAGGCCCAGCCTCAGTTTTTGGTTGGTTGGAAGAATGAGCACATTAAATATGAAAGAGAGACATTGTACTTCCCACCGAGTGTATACTAAATGTTTGTACTCTATGACAGTAACTGAAAGATGAGGATGTACAATAGTAGAGAAGGCAACTGTAATACCAGACAGTGTAGAAGCAGATGGTTAATATGGAATTGGGGGGAAGAAAAAATTTTACAGATATAAGAATGAAAAGTTACCTGCTGATTATAATATATATGGTAATAACTTTGACTTGTTTGATATGCACTACATTTATGCTGGAAAAAACCATTTTGCACACTGTAAAGATGTGCAGTAATTAAATATAAATTTTAAAAGTGAAAAATTAAAAAAATAATTAAAAAAGAATTTTTTTTTTTAAAGATCCAACCACCTCTTGACTACCTTTTCTACATAGCCTCATGGTCTTGCTTTCATGTTACTTTCTCTGAGGTCTTTTGTCATGTTCTTTAGAACCATCACCTAAGCTCATTACTGTTCATAAATTGTTGAAAAGATGCTGCTCTTGCAGAATGAACTTGTGGAAGAGCCTGTGCTTTGCTCCTCCCTCACCTTGATATTTCAGAACAGAGATTGGCAACAGTTTTCTGTAAAGGGTCAGGGTGTAAGTAGAAGAAGCTTCGTGGACCATCTCTTCCCTGTTGCAACTAGTCAATCTGCCTTGGTAGAGCAAGAACATCCATCATGATACATAAATAAGTGAGCATAGTTGTGTTTCAATAAATCTTTGTTTATAATTTCTAGAATTTGAATCCATACAATTGTCAGGTGTCATAAAATAAATTTCTTTTGACTATTTTTTTAGTGCTTAAAAAATATTGGAACCAGCAGTTAGTGTAATGGCTATGTCGCTGGATTCCCACGTAGTCGACCGCGGTTCACGTTCCGGATCCAGTGGCTTAGAACTCACACTGGGTGTGCGTTACGTGCATGCCCAAGATCCCGAGAAGAGAATGGAGGAGAAGGGATTGTGGTGTGACCATCCCCCTACCTGGAGGGTGATTTCTTGCTTTCTGTCTCTACGTCTCTCTGTCTGTCTGGCGAGCGCATGCGCCCTATAGTGAAAACCTCTCAAAAAAAAAAATTCACACTTTAATTTCATAGCCTATACAAAACATGCAGTGAGCAGGATTGGGCTCATGGCCCACACGTATACAAATAGTAAAGAATTAACTGGGGTGAAGGAAGAAGGAGAGTGAATAAAATAAATGATGAAACCAATATATATACATATATGTGTATATATATATATATATATGATAGTCTGAAAAGCAAATTAAAAATATTAAGACTTGATTAAACAGGGACAAACTAATTCTAACTCTATTCAAATGGACATTACTTCACTATGTAAATAATATTAAAATTATAGATCATATAAATAAAATATATGGTTTCTCTGAACACAACATGGACTGCATATCACGATAGGATGCAACACCCACCCTGGTAGAACAGTCATTAGCAAACTGAGCTAGCCGACTGTGCTGGAAGCCACATGGTCCTCTGGGGGTTCAGATCCCTGGTTCACTCAGAAACAAAGGAACACTCAGGAACATTTGGGCATGCCCAAGATCTGAGGGGCTAGAGGTCTGAAGAAACAGAATCACAATATGATGAGACCCTGTTGAGGTTGTTTCTCTCTTTTGTGCATGCACAACATTAGTGTAAACAAGAAGAAGAAGAAAAAAAAAAGAAGTAAAACATTGTAATCTTAACATTTATTGAGAGAAAGTACGGAGTAGTAGTTAAAGGGTCAGGAGCTGGTTTCAAATCCCAGCCTCAGCAAGGGCAGACAAAATGACTTCAGACAGGAGGAAGTGTGCCTTAGCATTCTCATAAAGGACATTCTTACTTTCTGGGTTTGCTGTGAGGGCGTAAGGTGCTTAGAAACTATGTGTGCTAATGGTTGAGGCAAGGTTAGCTACTACCCTGGACGATATGAAGGTAAGCATCTGTAACTTAATCCTAACGCAGAAAGGACTAGCGCTTGGGTGGAACTCATTGGATGCAGGGTTTTAGAAATGTTCACATCAATTTTTGAAGATACTGTGATGCCTATTAACTCATGTATAGTTGTAAGAAATAATATGGAGACGTTTAGATACCCATAATCTAGTTTCCCCCAGTTGAAATATGCTGCTTAACTACAGGACGATATTACAACCAAGAAACTGATAATGCTACCATATAGAGTTCATTTAGAATTCACCAGTTTGGGGGGCCAGCCATGGCCTGGTGGTTAAGGTGGCTAGATCCCACATGGCCAACTTTGCAGTCCGAATTCCGTACCTGGTGGCTTGAAAAGCACACTGGACACATGTGAGTGCATGTCTAAAATCACAAAAGAATGGAGGAGAAGGAATGGCACTGTGGCCTTCTCCCTGGGGGGGGGGTAATTTATCTCTTTTCCTCTTTCTGTCTCTGTCTCTCTCCAGCGAGTATGTACACCTTATACCTTATAGTAAAACCTGCAAAAAAAAAAAAAAAAAAAAAAAGAAAAAAATCAGGAGTCTTATATGCACTCAGTTGTGTGTGTGTGTGTTTGTGTATCTAGTTCTTTGCCACAACTGCTTTATGGCAGGAACATTCAGATAGAAAATTAAGTCATCAGTTCAGTAGTTTAAATGATACTTGAGAAGGCAGTAGCATGCATCGTGCAGATCACACAGCTCAGTATTACTACCAAGGTACTCAAAGTGGAATGACCCTCTGGGAACCAGCAGTTCACTAACTGGCTCTGTCGCTGGACTCCCACGTAGTTGACCGCGGTTCGCATCCCAGACCCGGTGGCTTAGAACTCACCCCGGGAACGTGTGCGTGCGTGCCCAAGATCCCGAGAGGAGAATGGAGGAGAAGGGATTGCGGAGTGACCATCCCCCCTGGGGGGTGATTTCTTGCTTTCTGTCTCTCTCTGTAAGTCTGGTGAGCGTACGCGCCCTATAGTGAAAACCTCTCCAAAAAAAAAAAAAAAGTGGAATGGCCCTCTGATGGAAAGGCAGCACATCTAGATCAACTCAATTGCTGTGTGTCCCTTTTCCTTCCATTATCTCCCCCTTCCCCCAAGGCTTTACTCTTAACTGAAGAACTAAGATCCATGAATGGGAAAATTAAGACATAAAACTGTTTTCCATACTTCACACCCAACTATTGCGGGAGGTAGGAGACAGCTTAATTCTTTCAATATGGATGTTGAAAATGGTTTTTATCATCACATTAAGAGAACTTTGAGCCTGTACGCCTTTTCACTTGAAGTTGGGCATGGTGATTTGATCAATGAGGGAAGAGAAGGCCCAGCACACACGCTCAGCTCCAGCGTACAGGTCTGTGTTTACTGAAGACTGTTGACCTGAAATCAACAAACAGAAAAGTCTTTCAGAGAAAGCAATCACAGTTCTCTACAAGCCCTTGCAATGAGAAGAAACAGAATCCATTCTCAGTTCCTGAGGATAATGCCTTTGGCCTAAGCTAGCTAGCAAATAAGAGGAAGGGCTGTTATGAACCATGATCAATAGTATTAAATCAGGTTTATGGATTTCTTTTTTTTTTTTTCTTTTTGAGAGAGATTTTTTTGCTACCGGGCATGTGCACTCAATGTAGAGACAAAAAGACAGAAAGCAAGAAATCACGCTCCCCCAGGGGATGTGGCAGGGGGATGGCCACGCTATAATTCCTTATCCTCTACTCTCCTCTTGGGATTTTGGACATGCATGCACAGATACCTGGCATGAATTTCAAGCCACTGGGCCCGGCACTTCTTGCGGTCAGCT